ACATCCGCTTTCATTGTTTCCCTTCTTGTCTTTTTAATGTTTTGTTTTTTGTGTGTCTGTGGGTCTTGATGTAATCCCATAGCTCATCAGGTCTGCTGTCATTAATGTTCAATATGTTAAATCTGATCTTGTTCTCTAATACAGTAATGCATTTATTTATGTAGTTGAGATATCATCATACTGATGTTTGCTTGTTTTTGTCTTTGCATATTTTCACAAACACTTATGGTTTTATGGACTTAAATAAAATAATAGCTACAATCAAATTTTAAAATCATGTTATTTCTCTTTTTTTACTCAAATCATTGAAAATAGCCATCCGACTTAAAGAAGGACTGTATTAAGCTACACAAGGAGATCTAGTTTTAAGATTCTTCATGTAGCTTGTGTCTTCCTAAATTAATTTATTAAGCCATTTTCCTTCTCTCAACTGAAAAATGAAAAAAATAGTTTTTTTTTGATGACTAACCATCTAAGAAGTTGGCTCTGATCTACTTCAGTCCAAACAACCAAATCGTATAATGATATCTCACCTACAAAAATAAATCCATTGCCATATTGGAGAACAAGATCAGATTTAGCATACTGAGCATGAAGGACAGCAGACCCGGGGGGCTGTGGGATTGCATCAGGTGGTTCTGCCTTGGGCTGCCAGCCCCAAGGTCAGCAGTTGAAACCAACTGCCACTCTGTGGGAGAAAGAGGAGACTTTCTACCCTTGTAGACTTATACTGTGGGAAACCCAGGGGGCATTTCTACTCTGTTCTATCCAGGCTCGACGAGTCGACTCCATAGCAGTGAGTGTTGTGTGTGTGTGTGTGTGCTTTTAAGTTCATGTGAAGTTTAATATTCTGCTTCTAGCCAGTCTTGATCTTCAATGTGTCACATCTGTTCTGTGAAATCACAAAGGGTGTCATTAAAGTTCTTCCTCTGAGATATGATCGTGAAATTTTAACCAGCTCCTCCGTAGGGTTTTCCCATAAGCAAGCATGCCAAGGCATGTTATGATTCACTGATAGTAATAAGATCTGATTACCATCCCAGAATTTGCAGTGTTCCATCATGATACCATTATGAGACAAAGATATTGTAGATATTTTCCTACCTTCTTTCTCATATACAATGAAAATCACTGCTCGTAAAATCTACCTTTTATTTCAATATCAGTGCTACATAGTCTGCGTTGCCATGTAAGTAGCTACTACATCCATTTGCAAGATTTAGAGATAAAGAAGGACCAGACAGGTTAGTGCCAACTTTATGGTTAAACTGATTTAGTGGAGAGGTTGACATTTTCCACAATGAAATATATAAAGCCACTAGCCTTGTATCTGGAGGAGCACGCAGCAAATTTTAATTTCTTTTTTGCTCCCCTATGCTGCAGAGATTGACTCAAATTCTAATTTTCTTTTGATTATACAAGCTTGTTCTTCCCATTATCAGTTACTCCTTCATTGGGTATGTACAAAAATAGTGTTATAAACTCAGTTAAGCCACCGATAAGTTGACTGTTATAGATTTGTGTCCTTTATAGGCCTCACTATTGCTATTGGTGTATTGTGTGTGGAAAAATAGACAAAATATGAAAATTATATAAATCACTGATGAACCCTTCAAAACCTTCTTTGAACTTTCAAATTAATTTTTATCCTTCTGTGTTTTACTTGAGTGGTAGGTTTCTCAAATTTATGCTAAATTTAAAAATATCAAAAGATAACTTTTGATGAGATTGAAATCCTATTTTGGAAGGTGATGTGGATAAGCACTGGGTTTCTCAATCACAAATCAGTCAGAACTTGTACCAGATGAAATTTGCATAGGAAAAAAACAAATAATGAAGTTGGACTCACACAGTAATTCTTTCAAAATATATTTAAGATGTTTTCTGTAGCCAGTGTCTTACATATATGTGTGTATATACACATATTCATGTACTTACATGCTGACACAAGAATATATGTGTGAGGAAATGAGTTATCCAGAAGAGTAATCAGACAATGAACAGCCCATCCTATATCACATTTCAGGCATTTCAGAACTGTACAATTATCTCTGAATTCAGAGATATAAGTGGGAAAGTGCAGTGGATGAGAGAAGATCTGTGTTTATGTTCAGAAAATGTATAAACTGAGGCCTACAGGGTCTAACAAGAAGTGCTTGCTTGCAGGAAATATGGCTGACCATGAGTTTGCCAGCTGCTGTGTCCACATAAATCCATATGAGATCCCTAGCAGTGATGGTTATGGCTGGGGCAAGGCAGTCTCTGACAAATCTAAGCTTGAACTTTGCCTCATGTAGCATTATAAATAATCAAGTGGCAACACTCAACATATTTTTCAATTACTTACTTTGATTTATAAGTTTAACTATTAAGTATTTTATGGACCATCATTTCTTCTCTTGCTTTGAAAGTGTTAAAGAAGGGTTGAATAAAAGTACCTTTAAATTTTATTTCATAGAGCAACAGGTAAGGTATATGTGATAAAATGTTAGATTAGCAAAATCTTTAAAAGTTTAGCATATATTTCCTTATCACGATGTAAAAAAAATAATAATAGAAGGAACCTAATATTAATGAGATACTCAATCCTTTACATGCAGTCTTGGTATATACTGCTCAGTATATTGTTGGTAGGAATTGAGTCTAAGGAAAAAAAGGGTGTGTCAGATCGGGTTGACTAGAGAAACAAATACAGTGACACTCATATACGTATAAGAGTTTTATATCAAAGGGTAATTGTAAATTAAGAAAATATTCCAGCCCAGTCCAGATCAAGTCTATAAGTCCTATAATCCTTCTTCAGACTCACACAGTCACATGCAGTGATGCTAAATGCAGGAAGATCACAGGTTGGTGGATGCAAAGACTTGTGGAACCAGTGGCAGTCTCTCAGAGCTCAGCAAGTCTCTGTATGGCTTGTCATAGGAAGACCTAGAGAGAGAGAGAGAAAGAGAGAGAAAGTTCCTAGAATCCTCATGGGAAGGCCATGCCCACAAAGAGGCAGCATCAAGTTTTGACCTGATTGACAGGCTAGACTCCACCCCTACACTTATTTATCAAGTTGACATGCAATTATGTGACTACCACAAGGGGGGTATTTCATCTTGTCAGTTAACTAGCTAAATATGAGAACATTTTCGTTACTGTGTTTTCACATGTACTTCATTTACATTCATTTCTTATCCATCCATCCTTCTATCCATATACCCATTCATCCACCTACCCTTCAACAATCTATCGAACGATTGCTATTTGAGACAAAGATGAGAGCATTGTGAAACAAGTGACAATATGAGAGGGATAGTGGCAGGGGTTGCTTTACAGTCTTCAGACTCTTAGTGCAGTGCCTTTTTTTTTTGTCTGCTTAAAGTACACAAAAAGTATAGCTGCAGCAGTCCTGTAGCTAAAGATTGGGAAATTTATGGTAGTTTAGCAATAGAGCCCTTACTCAGCAGATGCTCAGTGTAGTTGCTGGTAGTCGCTATTGAGTCAGCTTTGGCTCATGGAGACCCTATGCGCAACAGAATGAAACACACTGCTTGCCACTGCATCAGCTTCACACTCACTGGCATTCTTGCGTCCACTGTTGCAGCCACTGTGCATTTTAAGTTCCTGCTAACTTAGGGAGCCCATCTTCCAGCGTTTTGTCAGGCAGGATTTTGTTGTGCTCTGTCGGGTTTTCATTGACTTGTCTATAGAGGCGGATTGCCAGGCCCCCCTTGTCTGTGTTAGTCTGGAAACCTTGAAATCTTCCCAACAGAGAGTGACATGGCTTTTCTTTAAATTCTGGTAGCAGGGCTTCCAGAATGATAACAACATGAAAACCACCACAGTAAAATAACTTATAAGTGTGTACACACACACACACACACCACAATCGCATTGTATTAGTCTAGGTACTTTGGAGAAACATATCCAGAGAAACTCATGTATAAGAGAGAGTTTTAGATAGAGGGTAAGTGCACATCAAGAAAACATCCCAACCCAGTGCTGCCCAAGCACACAAGTCCAACATTCACCCATATGTCCAACACCAATCCCCAAAGTCCTCCTCCATCTCACAAAACAGATGCAATGATACCAACTGCAGGAGGAAAGCTGAGTCAGTGAATGTGTAAGCATCTCAGTGCTCGCAGGGGTCTCCACACGGCTGCTCCAGCACCCAGGAGTGCATCGGGGTAGGTCCATGTGGCATCTCCTCAGGGATGTCTTATAGGATGTGAACCTTGCCAGCTGAAGCAGGGAACTGGCTAAGGCAGCTGCACCCTGGTCCGACCATAAGAAAGCAAGAGACCCGAGAACTAGAAAGGCGAGGCTCATTGAGCCATTTCTCTCTCTGCCCTTCAATTAACCCCACATGTGTTTATGGGCCAGGTTGGCACAATAAACTAACTACCTCACACGTGCTCTCTCCTTTTCCCTTAGAATATTCACATATGTGCTGGAAGTTTTGAGTGGGAATTACCTGCTAGAAAGAGGAATCACCATATTTGGGGACCTCCTCAACGATTTTGCTTCAAAATAAGCAAATTGTCCTCTGTCCCATACTTCTTTATTCCTGTTACAATGGAAAACCATTGTTTCTTCCAGCTTGACACCAATCTCTTCGGTTCTAAACATCATTCCTTCACACTGTCATAGGAGTTACATTATCTCTAATGTCTCTCTCTTGGATTCTTCCTGTTTTCAACTCACTGTGCTTAAAATGTTCTAAAATATGAAACAACTTTCCCATTAATCCCAGACTTTGCCAAACTTTGTTTTCCTTCAAACTTCTTCAGAAAAATCCTTTCTATTTACTACCAATTTTTCTTAGCCCATCACTCCCACCTCATTCCTTTCTACTTTTTACCTTCAACACTAACAAAACTGCTTTTGCTGGGGATACTAATAAGCTCCAGTTTACTGAATCTGGTGGACACTTTCTGATATTTATTTTATTATTATTTTTTTTCTGGAAAGGCTTTATTATTGGGGGTGGGGGGGTGACGACATGGCACTCAGTACTTCTTGGCAGCGGCCTTCCTCATGGCTGCAAGCACGTTGCTTAGTTCCTCTCTCTTCCTCTTAGCCCGGATGTGTGTGCCCACCCGCTTCTTGATGAACTTAAGTGCCCGCTTGTCCTTGGAGACCTTGAGCAGCTCCATGGCCCTTCGCTCATAGGGTGCAAAGCCACACACCTCCCGGATCATGTCCCGCACGAGCTTGGTGTGCTTGGTGAGGCGCCCGCGGCGTCGGCTGTGCCTCGGCTTGCTCACGTTCTTGGTCACCTTGTGGCCCTTGTCGAGGCCCACGGCCATAGAGTAGCGCACAGCCATGGCTGCTATTCTTCGATGGCTGCCGCGGCGGAAGCCACTTTCTGATATTTATTTACGTGACCTACAGGTATCACACAACACTCCTGGTCCATTCCTCCTTTTTAAGATGTTCTTTGCTCCCAACTCCCTGTTTACTGTTTGTGTCCTTGATCTTCTAGCCTGTCTTTGGGTCCTGCTCAATCTCAGTGCCGGGTTCTAAACACTCACCGTGCATTCCCATGGCTATTCTGCAGAGTCAACTATGGCAGCATTTGTAGCTTTAGTTAAGACCTCCCCTCTAAATGCTAAACCTATAACTCAAATCCCATTTAGTCCCTCAAACGGATTTCTAGATTTGCCCCCAGATCTGTTCCTATTCTAATACTCCTCCCTTTTCATATACCAGCACTATGTATTTGTTGTTTAAATTAGAAACCTTGGAAGCTCCCTTGACATTTTAAGCTTGGTCTGACCACAAAGGCTGAAGTGGGGTTACAGATCACTTGGGCTTGTTTACGATTGTCTTTCTGCCCTTCTGTCTCCTTTCTGTCACACCTATCTAGGCACTGTGTGAAGGGTCAAGAATAGAGCAAAGATACCATTAAGCATGTGTTGTTTCCCTTTGGTTCCCCAACATCTCTCCAAGGTTTGCTGACCTCAGTGGTTAGTGCAGCGCACAGGGAGAGAGAGATCAGAGAAGTACCAACTCTGAGCTTTGTCTCTTGTGCTATGCTCTACAGTGTAGGAACTTTTAGGAGTGTCCATCAGTAATGATCTACTCTATTATGAGAAAATTCTGATTGCACCATGGGTGCTTACTGCCACTTTCTATTTCTTACTGCCCGCCCCCCCCATCTTCCTGTCTGCCCACGTGCAATTAATAAGGAATTCGGTTCTGAATCTTAAACTGTTGTCTCCCAGATACTCCCTTCATCTGTGTCACAGTCATATCTTGATTTGTCTGCTCTTGCTACATTTTTATCTCCCTGCCACATGTTTTCTTCACCCTCATAGCTATTTGCTCTCTTGACATCTCTCATGAGCACTTAAAGTAGGGGTTAGACTTTACCATTCTTAAGCTTAAAACTCGTCATTGATTCCCGTTATTCCTAGAAATAGTTAAACTTACTAGATGCAGACATTTCTTAGTATATACATACATGTATTCTTTATAATAAAACACAAATTGGATAATATGAAGTATTAGTAAAGGAGATGGTTCGTATGAATTATATAAATGCTAATTAATTATCTGTTTAAAATTTACCTTTTGATAATTCCTTACTTTAGATTAACAAAGGATTAAGAAAGTACGAGACAATCACTCACTCAAGCCAGCTTCTTTGAGTGACTTTGTACTTTATTTTTTAAGCAATATCTTGCTATTTCTAAAGAAGGAAGACTTATCACATAAACAATTCATAAGGAAAGAGAGATCTATTCTTGACCAAATGTAATTAAAAGTGAAAGACTAGATAGTATGGTGATGTTTAGATAGCTTGAAGTTCTAGACCATTGGTATAGCCAGAAAAAGAGGTGATCAGTCTGGATATAGATAAGCCACTTGACCAGATCAGTTCACCCAGACTGACCTTTCACGAGTTTTTTGTTTAATCCATTAATTTCCAGATGATTCCTGTTTTCATATTACCTCTTCCAACTGGGTCTTTAATGTCCTGAATGTTGTCAACTCTTCTTGGATCTCTAATCTCCAGCCACACTGGCCTCCTTTTAATTTTCTAAACTCACCGAAGCTTTTTGTGCCCTAGAATCGTTTCTCTTGCACTATTGCCCATGTGTGGAAGGCTATGACTCTCCACCTTCCCTCTCACCAACGCCTTCATCCAGCCGCTGACCATGCCTCGTTCTGCAGGATGCACTGTTGTTGTTAAGGGAGCTGGTTGTGCTTCTCTGAGTCTCTTTCCCATAATATTCAGCAACTTTCCTTCAGTGGGATTCTCATATTAATAATTCATTAATTGCAGATTGATTCATACATTCCCTCCTCCTCCATTTTGAGGCTCCCAGGAGCTATTGACCAGAAATGCCCACAGTTGTGCTTGGCTTAGTGCCAAGCCTGGCTTATTCCTGCAAGGAAAGGTGGGAGGCAGGAAGACAGGCATCAAGTGTGCTTCAGAAATACATGTTGTCTTATATTTTCTCTGGATAGGTATTTTGTAGGACAGATGATATCTTGGATTACAAGAACCTCTATTTTGTTACTCTCATGATCTGTATTTCAAGTTGCTGAGATAATTACTGTTTTATGTCTAAAAAAATCCCATTGCTCTCTAGTCAGTTGTGCCTCCTGGTCCCCTCTTGTGCTACAGAGTAAAGCAGATCGCTAGGGCTTTTATGGATGCAGTTGTCATGGAAGCAGGTTGCCAGACGTTTCTTAGATAGTGCTGAGTAGGTTCAGAAAGCCAGCTTTCCGATTGGGAGTTGAGTGCAAAGCTGGAGGCCTAATCCTTTCTTGCTGGGTCATTCCTGACGCATGGATGACGCATGGAAACACCTCGGTAGGGTTTCTGCACTATCATCTTTACAGATGTAATTCTCCAGGCCTTTATTCTCTGAAGCTGCTGGGTGGTGTCAGCAATCAACCTTTAGGCTAGCCGCAGATTACAAACTGGGTAATGCAAGTACTTAATTGTGTTGTCCAATACTTAATAACCACATGTGATTTTGAGTGTGTGAAATGTGGCTAAATGAAATGTGATGTAAATATGATTACACCAGCTGATACCAAGGGCTCAAAGCAACTGTTTTGGGAAGGGTGAGGGTAACAAATGTACAAATGTGCGGTTCACAATGAATGTATGGATGGATTGTGATAAGCACTGTACGAGCCCCCAATAAAATGATTTAAAAATATGATTACACAGTTGGTTAAGCATTTGGCTACCACCGAGAAGGTTGGCAGTGTTGACTCTCCCAACACCACCTCTGGAAATAGGTTGGGGACCTGTTTTCTGTTACGAAGTCCTGGCCTTGACCAACCTAGAGAGCAGTTCTGTTCTGCACACATGGCTTGTCAGTAACCAACACCTTAATGGTATAAAGAAAAAGGATGTGCACTATTTTAGTAATTTTTTAAATCAATTAGATATTGTTACTATTTTCAAAGAAATTTTATTAAAATAATTTCACATGTTTATACTTTTACTTTGTATGATGTGATTACTAGTTATATACACTTACATGTGTAGCTTGCATGATATTATTATCGCTTAGGGATTGAAAGAACATAGTATGCTGTTAGAATCTGAGGAAGAGAGAAGCAATTCCAGGGAAAGTTAACTGCCTTCAATAATGTCGTGCTAAGATATCTAATAGGCCTGCTCTCATCTTTACTGGGCCACTAAGGGCTGAATTTCTGAGAGTTTTTCCTGCTCCCCTATATCACTGTGGTAAATACACTTGCTAGAAATGAGTATAATTTTGAAAGTTACATCATCAAATATTTTCATAGTGTTTTACAATTCCACTTATTCATTTTTTTTCTTAAGAAGTTCTACTCTAAACCCACCATCTGTGTTATCTTTGTGAGAATCTAGAATGTGGTTTAATAGGTTTCTGCTTAGGCAAATGTAACTTGATCAACTTCAGGCTCTAAAATAGATTGCAAGTTTTCCCAATGTGAGAGGAGATATTGAAGTCAGCTGTAAATTATCTTGGCACCAATATTAAATTCTGGAACTCTGAATACCAAGAAGATGCCAGTCCATTAAGCCAAGAGGTGAAATATGCTTTGCCTAAAGGTTTGTCTGCAGCACAGTCCATTGTAATTTTTAATGAGGAGACAAGAAAGAGAAGTTTGGGCACCTGTAAGTGAAACCACCTGTTACATACTTAAGTATTAGTGTATATTAATTATTATTGCTTAAAGTGAGAATTGATGTAATGGTCTGAGAGATGCCTGGCACCGCTTTTAATTTAAGTCTTGTTACTCATTTCCAGTTATTTCCCCCCAAGTACTGAGCTGTAAAAGACCCTGTCATGTCTGCCACATAACTCCATGAGTCTATTCAAAATTAGCTTTTTATGGTAGCCAGAACGAAAAATGTAACACAATCACCAATCACCAATATGGTTTTAAAATCATCGAGTTAGAGATCTGAAAAGGATCTTGAGGAGCCAGCTCCGTGAATGTTTTAAGAGCAAACAGAGTGGGTTGAATTATTTGCCTAGAGGTTGCCAACATTAGTGGCAGAGCTGGTCCTTCTGACTCAGCCCAGTCTTCTCTCTATCAACTCTATTAAGGATATGTCAGGGGCAAACTACAGTGACTACAAATGAACAGTGTTAAACTTGATAACTAATGGCAGCGTGCCTAGGTATGTGCATCTGTTGCTATTTAGGGGAAACCCACATTTATTTACATGTGCGTGCACATGTGACTTGTGGGAAGGAGGATCTTTGCTAATATCAATGCTTTGTTGGAGAATTCAGACCCATTTTAGCATCCCTCCTGTCCTAATGCTGTTTCCTTTTAAAATTTCAGATGTACAATGGGCCTTGCCTGTTTTCTTTTTCTTTGTGTCTAGGTTCTCCCAAGATTATGGATTATCACTGTATTTATTAAATAGTCATATAATAAGGATAAATTGTGGAGGCCAGATAGGAAGTGCTTATGTTTCTGTAGAATTGAAGGATAGAAGGGTAGATTAAAGGTGAAGAAGGTGTGTATTAATTTCTTCAATCAAAATGAAAACTTGTACTCCACAGAGAATGCCCCCACAGAACTGTTCTTGTAAAATGAGAAGCGAATCTCTGTTAGTTTTTAAAATCTTCAGTTTACTAAAATTGTGCTTATCAATAATTTGAGATTTAATTCTTTAGCTTCTTAGCTGAAAAATTAGTTCTTTCAATAGCTTCGCTCCTAAGCAATTTGAGTAGTTAGGAGAAAGGTCATAGTTCAAATCTAAAAAATGTTATAAAAGTCATTTTCTGAGCACAGGGGGTCCATAAGTGTATGATGCTGTGCAATAAAGGTGGGGAAAGAGAATAGTTTTCCCGAC